AGTATGTTTTGCTCTTTGTAAATCCATCCTGACTGTTCCCAATCACCTTGTCCTTCATGCATGTAGAAGTGGTTTCCAGGAGGATTTTCTCCATCACTTTCCCAGGCACTGTGCTGAGGCTGCCTGGTCTGTAGTTACTTGGACTGGATCTTCCTCTTGCCCTTCTTGAAGTTAGGAGTGGCATTTGCTCTCTTCCGCTCTTTAAGAACCTCGCCCTCTCACCGCAGCCTTTCAAAGACAATCAAAAGTGACCTTGCAATGACATCAGCCAGGTCCCCAGCGTTTGTGGGGGCAACCTATGGACTTACATATGTCCAATTGGATTAAGGCTCCTTAACCTGTTTCTCCTCCACCACAGGTAACACCTTCTTTTTTTCTTCCTCTCCTCGCTCCTTCATGGAGGGAATTCCCTTTTAATGTCTGTATTTCCCTCCTCCCCAAAACCTTCCCAATATGATACAATTGTGATGGTGGCTAGAAATACTTCTGGCAGAGTACTTCAAGGAATAAACAGCTGTGAGAAGTGCTGGTAAGAGGCCAGTCCAGTGAAAATCCAAGAGCACTTAAATCCAAAGACATGACTTTCTCCAGAGGCGAAATTGCCCCTATTTGAAGCTGATTTCTCTAAAAGGGGTCTGTCAAGTCCCAGGGAAAACATGCCTCATTCTCTATGTAACCTGACAGCAAAGTATTAGGCATACAGAAAAATAAATTGTGATCTTCAGGCAGAGCCACACCTGAGTTAATCTTTAATATTTCAGTCCTCATTTCATTTTTACTGTTCAAAGGTGGTGAACTGATCAAAGTGCATCTTTGATCCACAGATTGAAGATGTGGAGATCTTTCTTCCTTGTCAACAGGTAAAATCCAGCTTCATTTCTGAAACAAGCTTCCCTTTTGGTGCTAAAGAAGTGAGCATTCAGCATGTCAATGTGCTTGTCTTAAACCTCTCCAGAACACTGAAGCTCCATTTGTACACAGTTACCTTCAACAGAAAATATATCCCTCGTACGGAAGATGAGACGGGACCTTCAGGCAGAGAAGTGACTGTCGGGCAGAGGAACGCTGAATGTAAACTTCAGTACCTGAATCTTCTTTCCATTGTCCTTCCCTTCTGCAGGTGGAAGTTAAGTTTCTCTGTCAAGGAGGAAAAGAGTAGCTGTTCCACATCACTGTTCACCTTCGTTCATTAAGGCAGGTAAGCACGTCTCTTATAATTATTTTGCTTCTGAACGAGCCGTGAATGCCGTGCTGCTGTTGGGGTGGAAGGGAGCCCCTGTTCCCTTCATCCAAGCTGTGCACACAGGGGCCAGAAGCTCTTCTCATCCCCCCGGTCTCCTCAGGTGCGGGCAGGAAGAAACTGGGGGCATCAGCTTCATGGCTGTTCCTGGCATGTCAATGTGCTTGTCTTAAACCTCTCCAGAACACTGAAGCTCCATTTGTACACAGTTACCTTCAACAGAAAATATATCCCTCGTACGGAAGATGAGACGGGACCTTCAGGCAGAGAAGTGACTGTCGGGCAGAGGAACGCTGAATGTAAACTTCAGTACCTGAATCTTCTTTCCATTGTCCTTCCCTTCTGCAGGTGGAAGTTAAGTTTCTCTGTCAAGGAGGAAAAGAGTAGCTGTTCCACATCACTGTTCACCTTCGTTCATTAAGGCAGGTAAGCACGTCTCTTATAATTATAACATTTATAACAAAATGAAGATTGAGTCAGTTATATGTGAAATAAGTTGTTGCAGTTTTCTCCTCTCCTCTCCTCTCCTCTCCTCTCCTCTCCTCCCTTCCCCTCCCTTCCCCTCTCGTCATCACTCTTCTGCCCTTTGCTCTGCTTTGCCCTTCCCAGCCCTGCTCTGCCCTTTCTTTTGGTTTCTTTTTTTTTTTCTTTATGCTTTAAAATGCCTTTTGGTTTCCCTGCAGAGCTCGGAGATGGTTCTCACAAGGGCTTATCATAGCTTTGGGAGAACGGTCCCTGGTGTCTGCAAAGGGGGAAAGGCAAACTCAGTCAGCACACCCTCCAGAGCACCTCCCCAGCTTTGTGCCTCCACCTGCAGATGCCTTTCTGCTTTGCCTGTCCAGGTTGTCACACAGTACGGCTCTGTGGGGTTTATGTGGCAAGGTTTTGGTGGGGGTGGTGTTATAGGGGTGGCCTCTATGGGAAGAGGCTCCCCCATGTCAGACACAGCCAGGTCCTGCCAGCTCCAAACCAGACCCACTGCTGGCCAAAGCTGAGCCCACCAATGAAATGCAGACCCAGGTTGGAGGGGTTCCTGAAGGAACTGACTCCTGTGGGAGGGAAGCCATGCTGGAGCAGGGGAAAACTGTAAGGAGGAAGGAGGAGTAGAGACAACACGTTATGGAATGATCATGACTCCCCTTCCGCAAGCCCTTATGTATCCTCTCCCGTGAGGTGGCAGAGGAGTCAGGAATGGAACAGTGAAGCTGAGCCTTGGAAGAAGGGGAGGGTGGGGGGAAAGTGCTTTTAGTTTTGTCTTTATTTCTCACCATGCTACTCTCTTTTAAACTGGCAATCAATTAATTTTTCCCAAATCAAGTCTGTTTTACCTGTGACACCAACCGTAAGTTTGACTTTATGTCACCCCAGGAGCTTTTCTGTCTTATTTTCTCCCCCTGTCCATTCTTGGAGAAAGGGGCGGAGTGAGAGAGTAGCTCCATGGACTTTGTGGAAACAGCAAATGTCAGCCTACCACCATCCTTTCTCTATTGCCTGCTCAGGGTAACCTCCAGGACTGGAGTTACTCTGAAAGAATATGCACATGGACAATGGTCCCAATCCTCTGCCTCTCTGGAAAACAGTAGCTGGTGTCCAGCACACCCTGCACTCTGCAGATGCATGTGCCATAAATATTGTCCAAGGAAACTGCATGTCCATGGCTGTGAGAATTCTCAGACAGCTACACTGCACCTGAGGTGACCAGCTGGGAGTGCTCAGAACATCTTACTGACTCTGCTTTCTGCTCTCTACCCCTGTACCCTCCACAGAACTTTGGCCACGTTTTCCCAGCATTACACAATAAACCCAGAGAAAAAGACACGTGAGAACAAAAGGCACGAGAAGATGTCAGGGGAACCTGGTAAGAACCACATTTCTTCTCTTTAGACAGGGATGGAAGGGCAAGTGACTCATTGGAAAACCCTGGTTCCCTGAGAGAATCAAATAAAATGTGTTCCTCCCAAAAACCTGTTCTTGTCGTTTCTTAGTGAAGTTTCCTCTCTTTCTCTCTCTCTTTCTTTTTCATGTGAACCTAATCCCCAGATCCTGACGCGGGAATCAAGCCTGGGACCGTGAAAGAACTAAAAAACCATTTTGAGGCTCTGGGTAAGTTTCCTGGATACCATTTGTTCTGCTTGTGATCATCCTTGGGAAACTCTGGGATGCTGAGTATCTCTGCAGAGGGAAAGGTGCCTGAGGAGGTCTATCCCCCTGAGTCTCTTTGATGAGAGGCAAGTCCTGCTCCAGCAGAGTTTATTGCTCAGGCTTGGTAGAGAAAGGCTTTCCAAAAAAAGGCTCCGGTGAAGATGCTGCTGCATTTGTACATCTCTTCTGGGGTTCCTTTCAGACTTCGACTGCAAGGGCAGTCACAATCTCTTTCTCACCCTTTGTTGGACTACCATCTGAAAAGTGGGGCAAAACATCAGGGAGGTTATGCCTCTGGACCAGGAAATGAATATTCCTCACCATTCCTTCTGACTGTGTTGGAGTTCTCCTCATTGTCCTTCCATCAGCAGTGGAGGTTCCAACAGGTGCAGCTCCCACCTGGCTGTGGATTTTCTGCTCTGCAGCAGAGCTGGGAGATACAAAGCTGACCTCTCCAGCCTCAGAAGGGTTCAGGATCCCCAGTGGGGAAGGTCTGAGCCATCTGCTCTGACCTCAAGGCAGAGTCTGCTTTCAGCAGGAGACTCACCAGACACCTCCCAAGCTCTTTCCCACCCAGAAGAGCTCTGCCATTTGGTGACAAAGACAGAACCCCAAATCGCAGGCCAAGCCTCAAGAATGCACTTGGCTTCTTCAGAAACCTCTAGGGCATGTTGGAGAGCTGTCCTGGGAGGTTCTGGGAGGAGATGTGAGGGAGCAGAAGCATCCCAATGTGGGGTGGCAGGAGGGGAAGGGGCAGAGTGAGGCCCCTGCAGTCTCCCTGGGAAAGACCACGTGCTGCTGCCCATGACCTCTGGCAGCTCAGGCAGCTCATTGGCACAGGAGACCTTCAGCAGGGCTCCGCGGTAGGACACAGTAATCGAAAAGCCCCACAGCACTGCTGTCAGGTTCTTGGTTTATAGGACCTCAAGTTGCTTGGGTCATCTGCATGATGCGCTCTTCCCCAAAACCTGTTCAGTATGTTCTTGTGCTTCACGAGGGAAAGATATTCATTAAGTTTCCCTTTTTTATCTGTTTTTTCCATATGCATCTACTGACCAGAACCTGAGACTGAGAAGCGCAGTGTCCAAGAACGAAAGAAACGCTTTGAAGGCCAAAGTAAGTACAGCGAGTCTCATTTCTACTTGTGGTCATCCTAGGGCAGCTCTGGGATGTGATGTGTTAGCACTGAGGGAAGTGAGGCTTGTGGAGGTCTATCCCACCCGAGCATGTCCTCTGCAGAAGCCCTTCCAGTCCAGAGCAGAAGGCATGGTCTCCCGGGTGGGGTGAGTTGGGTCAGCAGGGTGTACCTCATTGGCGACAGCCACGTCCTACCCTAGCCCAGGTAATTGCTGGAGTTGGTAGAAGAAGGCTTTCCACGGGACAGGCTCAGGTGAAGTCGCTGAGGGATTAACATGTGGCTTCTGGGATTCCTTTTCACTCTTTGACTGCAAGGGAGGGTTTGTCACCCTCTTGTGGGACTGACCACTTCAGAAGTACAGGGAAACACCAACAGCAATCTGCCGCTGGCCCACCGCAGGAATAAACCTTCTTCACCCTCCATTCTCTTGCAGGCAGTAGCTTTCCATCTCCTCAGGTGACATCCACAGGCAGAAGGGAGATGTCTCCCCGTGCAGGTGAGAGGCTGGATTTACCATGCTCTCTGCAGGAGAAGGAAGGGAGGAGGGTGGGATCAGTAGACTTTTCTTGTGGTGAAAGAGGAGGGTTCATTCCTCGGCATCTTGCGGTCTCATGCTCCAGGGGGGCTTGTTGTCCATGCTGAACTTTTCTCCCAGGACTGAGAGTGGTGCCTCCCATCTTCAAAAGGGGTTCACCATAGACTTCCTCCTGTGTGGCCTTAGTTGGATACGGGTCCCATCTCCTCTAGTCACTGCCAATGGTTCTAGCTCTGTGGTCACGGAGGGTGCTGGCGTCCTCAGCCCCGCTCTGGGCTGCCTCTGTGCACTTGGTTTTCTCTGTAGGGTGGAAGCTTGAGGGAGGCCCTGCCAAGCATGGAGAACCTGGGCTGGTTTTTATGCCTAAGGGGCCACCACAGCACCCTGAAACTGTTGCTCTTGGAGTGGCAGGACTAAGCGTTCCCTGGTGGCTTTCCCGAGCTCACAGACTTGCTTCTCTCGAGCTTTGTGCATTTGGCTTCATCAGTGCATGTGTCAGGAATGGGCCTGCATCCAGAGAGGTCCCATGAGGGCTGACTAGTGCTGATGGAAAGACCACCATGAACACCCAAGGGAAGGAAGACTTATAGCTCCTGAAGCTGTGTCAGATAGGGCTGGGGGTCAGGCATCTCTGGACATTGGTAGACCCCTCTTGACACTGGTATGGGTAACTTTGGCAGAGGCTCCTGGTGGCATTTTGACTTTTCTCGTATCTGGCACTTTCACCACCCCACAGACTGCCCTTCCAACAGCCTCCGGCAGCTGTTTTGTTCTTGCTGGCATTCCCATGCAGATGTCCTGGTGCACATGGTGCACACTAGAAGAAGGATGCCTGGAGGAGCAGTGTGCTAGGCCCAGTGGTGGGCTGACCCACAGCAGAGTGGGACAGGCTGGATGGTGCTGAATCCCATCCTGCCCGGGATGTAAGGCCAGCTCTTCTCCTGCAGCTTTTTTTTTTTGTGACCCGCTAGCAGGAGCATGCTCTTCCCTTGGGGAAGGCTTGTGATGACCATGCCCTGGGCTCTTTCTTAACAGCATGCCTTTTCCTGGAAGAGAGGGAGTTTTTTTGGCACTGCACTGACATTGACCACCTGGGTGTGAGATCCTCCTGGTTACAGATAAGAGGTTTCCTTGGTTTTCTTTCTACAGGCCCCATGCATGGAGGAGAGCATTCCCTGCAGTAGGGACAAGGAGCAGATTCTGTCCTGGGAGGTTCTGGGAGGAGATGTGAGGGAGCAGAAGCATCCCTATGTGGGGTGGCAGGAGGGGAAGGGGCAGAGTGAGGCCCCTGCAGTCTACCTGGGAAAGACCACGTGCTGCTGCCCATGACCTCTGTGGCAGCTCAGGCAGCTCATTGGCACAGGAGGCCTGCACTGGGGCTCCGCGGCAGGACACGGTGATCAAAAAGCCCCACAGCACTGCTGTCAGGTTCTTGGTTTATAAGACCTCAAGTTGCTTGGGTCATCTGCATGATGCATTCTTTCCCAAAACCTTTTCAGTATGTTCTTGTGCTTCACGAGGGAAAGATATCAGTTAAGTTTCCCTTTTTTACCTGTTTTTTCCATATGCATCTACTGACCAGAACTTGAGACTGAGAATCGCAACGACCAAGAACGAAAGAAATGCTTTGAAGGCCAAAGTAAGTACAGCGAGTCCAGGGTGGGACCTCAGAGAGAAACAAAGTCTGTGGAGGTCTATCAGTCTGAAAGCTTCTTCTTTTTATCCCTTTTTTTTTTTTTTTTTTTTTCTATGAATGAGCTGCCCAGAACCTGAGACTAAGCAATACATTGTCAAAGAACTAAAGAAATTCTTTGAAGGCCAAATTCAGTAGGCCAGATCTCATTCTCTTGTCAGGCTACCAAGAGATGAGTAGAGTGAGACTCTGTGTGAGCTTCTCTCACCTCCTCTGGGAAGCAAAGGACATTCTTCACCCTAAACCCTCTTGCAGGCATGCACATACAAAATCCAGAGCTGTTGTCCAGGGGCAAAAGGAAAATGCCTTTCTGTGCAGGTGAGTACCAGGACTGATCCACACTACCTGGAAACAAAAACCTGCCTAGCCAGAAGACAATCTGGAGGCTTACCCTGCATGAGGGTGCACCACAGTGATATGAAACAAACTCACCGCTCCAGAAATTCCCACTTCCAAAGGCCTCTGGCAAGTCTTTTGTCATTTTGAATATCCCCATCCAGATGTCCTGGTCCCCAGGTACTAGTGTGCAGAGCTGCCCAGGCAGTGTGCTTTTCCCATCACAGACCAGGGCAGCCTGGACTCTATTGAATCCCTTCCTCTCTAGGTTCTAAGACAGGCTGTTTCCCTGCCCCTGCTCTTTCCAGGTTGGATGCTTGACAGGGGGATCTTCTTCCCTGAAGGAACATTTCAAAATTATCATGCCCTGGTCCCTCTTCTATGGCCGTGTCTTTGGTTAGTGAGGAAGCAATGGGGTTAATTTTAATTTTGTCTCAACTCACCAGCAGCACAGGAGCGTGGGGCCCATGTGGGACTGAGCTAATTGTTTCATGAGAGTATCACGAGCTGCTCGGTTATCTACTTGTCTCTATTGCATTTTGGAGCCGATCAAGGAACTTTAGATAAGGTTCTCCAGGCGCTTTTCTGTCTCTTTGCAGAGCTCTGCTAGGGCTTCAAATATCTGCCGCCACACTACTAAGTGTTGAGCTGCAGCTTTATCTGTCCCTGCAGCAGCGTCTCAAAGCTTTTCACCAATTTGCTCCCACACCTCTTTGTCAAGGGTGTCGGTCTCGGGAGAGCCCGGAACATTTTTTCGTACCCAGTCTAAGGAAGTTATTAAAGACAGGGTAGGTACAGATCGGTTTTGAGCTTTTAAAATACACTGTAATACTTCTAGATCCCTTTGCTGCTCTGTGGGCAGTGTGCTTCCCTGCTCCTCTCTCAGCAGAGTGTTCCCCATAGTTCCCGATCGCTCAGCTCTGTCCTGCAGAAGGCGATGAGCCGGCGGTGAAGAAATCCTGGAGGCAATCCCTGGTTCCATCGGGCTGCGCTACCGCTCCGGACGGCTTTAGTCTCCTGATTAATGCCCCACGTTGGGCGCCATTTGTAGCGTATGAAGGCACGGACCCCGGTCGGTGATACAACCAGAATCGTTTATTATAACCAACCGGTAGCTTATATAGTACCAGTGGATCTTCTTTCCCAACTGACACAGCCCCGCTACCCCCAACTGCCAGGCGGGTGGAATTCCCCTCCATCAGTCAGGGGCGCCAGGCATTGTTTACAGGCCATCTGGAGATGCTCCTGGGTCATCTTCTGCCACTGTTCCTGCTTCTTCTTCTGATCTCTGCTTCTTCCACAATACTGTTAACCCCCTGTTCTCCCACAACCTCAGAGGAGGCAAGATCATTCTCCCACTGATAGTGGTCTTTCTTCACAGGAAGGACAGTGGAAGCAAACACAGCAAGGGCCCTGGATTCCTTTCGAGAGAAGGACCTCCAGCAGATCTCTCAGCAAATGGAAAGGCTGCAGACAGCTTTTCAGAACATACCAAGGTCAATACAGAAGGACCTGGAGAACCTCAGAGCCGACCTCGAGAACCAATTTGGTGAGCACAGCCATTGGCAAGAAGGCCTTCACCTCTCTGTAGGAAAATGCTTGCTCATATATATATATCTCTATCTGTTCCTTGAACTACCATTCTGTGTCTCCTGATTATGCTTGGGGTTGGACAGATGTTACTTTGCAAGTACCTCGTGTCCTGTGTCCCTGAGAAATCTCCTAGTGTCAACTGCAGGGGGTCAGGGTCCCTCTCCTTTCCCTCGTCTTGGAAGGGAGTGCATACCACGGGCTCTCAGTGACGCTGAGAAGAGGTGATGGTGTCTACCTCCAAGTGCTCCCTCCATCTCTCTCTCGCTGTGTCCATTCACCTTCCTCATGACCAACCATCTTGTCTCTGACAGCTCCCCGATTCAGGGGGGGAAGATGGTGGGGGTGATGCCAGGCCATTGTTCTGTCCAGCTGTCATTTGTCAAGCTTTGAGGAAGGCTCACAGGGCCCGTGCTCTTTCCCATTCCTCCAGCACTCAAGCTGTCCAAAGCAGTCAAATGGAGGTGGAAGGCTCTTCCCACTTCCCCAGAGCCCATGTGCCCTTAGCGCCTGGGAGGTGCACGCCTGAGGGAGGGCAGGATTCAGGCAGGGAGAAAGGCCCAGAGTTAGAGCTGGAGGGAGGAAGCTTGGTCTCAGCCCTTGGGCAAGCCCTGCTCTCCTGCCCCTGCCGCAGGACTGCCCAATGAGTGTTGGTGTGCCTTCTGAACTGCCACCACCATCTTGCCTTGGAGAGTGTCTTTTTCTGAGAAAAAAATCATAATGACCAGCACTGTTGATGCCCCAATGGGCTCTGGGGCTGGGTCCTCGTGGGCAGTGAAACAAGTTCAGCTGCTTCTTGGTCCTTTCTAAGAGGAAAGGCCTTGTGCCAAAAGCAGTAGAATGCCTCAGGTCAGGGGAGGCAAGGTCATTGTCTCACTGACACTGGTCTTTTTTCACAGGAAGGATGATGGAAGCAAACACAGCAAAGGCCCTGGATTCCTTTCGAGAGAAGGACCTCCAGCAGTTCTATCAGCAAATGGAAATGCTGCAGACAGCTTTTCAGAACATGCCGAGGTTAACACAGCAGGACCTGGAGAACTTCAAAGCCAACATGGGGAACCAATCTGGTGAGCACAGCCATTGACAAGAAGGCCTGCACCTCTCTGTAGGAAAATGCTTGCTCATATATATATATCTCTATCTGTTCCTTGAACTACCATTCTGTGTCTCCTGATTATGCTTGGGGTTGGACAGATCTTACTTTGCAAGTACCTCGTGTCCTGTGTCCCTGAGAAATCTCCTAGTGTCAACTGCAGGGGGTCAGGGTCCCTCTTCTTTCCCTCGTCTTGGAAGGGAGTGCATACCACGGGCTCTCAGTGACACTGAGAAGAGGTGATGGTGTCTACCTCCAAGCACTACCTCCATCTCTCTCTTGCTCTTTCCATTCACCTTCCTCATGACCAACAGTCTTGTCTCTGACAGCTCCCCGATGCAGGGAGGGAAGATGGCGGGGGTGATCCCAGGCCATTGTTCTGTGCAGCTGTCATTTGTCAAGCCTTGAGGAAGGCTCACAGGGCACCGGTCTTTCTTCACAGGAAGGATGACTGAAGCAAGCACAGCAAGGGCCCCGGATTCCTTTCAAGAGAAGGACCTCCAGCAGATCTCTCAGCAAATGCAAACACAGGAAACAGCTGTTCAGAACATGCAGGGGTCCACAGAAGAGCACCTGGATATCCTGAGAGCAGACATGGAGCGCCAATTAGGTGAGCATAGCCATTGCCAAGAAGACCTCCATCTGTCTGGTAGATTTAGCTCATCTACAGACAAACCGTCCCACTTGCTAGGCCTCTGCACCTCCTGAACACAGAAGGGGTTGGAGAGACCCTTCTTGGCAAGTAGCTCACATACTGCAGCAGTGAGACACGTCACTACAAAGGTGTTGAATGAGGGTTGTCAAGGTCTGTCTTCCCTCCCTTTTTTTTTAAGGCAGTGAGTACCATGGGCCCCTGTGACTCGCAGGTGTGGAGAATGTGTCCACCTCCAAGTCTTGCCTCCATCTCTTTCCTTTACCCACTCACATTCCTCTTGACCAAGCCACTCCTCTTCTACAACCCATCCCTTCTGGCAGGAAAGATGGAGACGTGTGACTTCACCCTTCCGTCCTGCCCACCCGGCTCAGCCCTTAGGCAAGCCCTGTTCTCCTGCCCCTGCCTCAGGAGTGCCCAATCCATGCTGGTTTGTCTTCTGAGATACCACCACCATCTTGCCCTGGGCTGTGTCCCCTTCCTGATTAAACAGCTCATGAACTGCACCGTTCATGCTCCAGTATGATCTGGGGCTGGGTCCTCCTGGGCAGGGAAAAAAGTTCAGCTTCTTGTTGTTCTTTTCTAAGGGGAAAGTCCCACCTGTACATGGTTCCAATAAAGTGCTTTGAACTCTTCACACCGTACGGCAAACCAGAGATGCCTCCTTCAAAGACAATAGTGTCTCTATCCCTTCTCCCTTGCCATCAGCATAGCATCTTCTTTTTACTGCTCCAGAGTTCCTACCGATGTTCTAGATCTTGTTACAATCTTTGCTGCTAAAAGACTGAGCATCCTGGTCACCTCAGGCCTTGCTCTCTTTGGAGGATGGCACCAGGCCTTTTGATGTCTTTTCCAACTTACTGAACAAGCACGTTACTATGGGAGAACACAGTCTCTTTGGTCAGCAGCATAAGTTTCTTAGTACACAGGAGAGTATCATGTTTGCAAATGCACCTATTGCCTGTTTTTTTCTTTTTCCCACAGAGCTTTTCAAAATGCAGCGCTACAAAGGTAAGCAAAAGGGAGATGATGCATGTGAGTACTCCGAGTCTGAAAGTGGTCCTCAAAAAAGTATCTGACAAGCTCAGATAGCTGGTTGAAGAGCAAACCCCTCAGGGGAAAGATTGTGTGATAACTGTTCTCTTTGTTGTGTGCTGCCAAAGACCCTGTGTATGTCTGGCAGGAGCCATTTTAGCTGTGGGGAGCAGGGATGACCAGCTTGCATTGGCCACTTCAGCTCCTGGCTCCCACTCCTGGTGTTGCCCTTTTGGTGTTTCAGGAAAAGGGTCTTGAGCTGATGTTTCTCCACTACAGGAGCAACCTCTTCTTCTGTAAATCTGAGCTGAGCTACAAGACCTTAGTTCACAACATTGCACCTTGCTGGTTCAGAGTCAGGTGTTTCTTACATTGATGAGTTGGGTAAAGTGAGGAAAGAACCATTTACTCATCACTGTGGCAGTGAAGATCACTCTTCCATTCTAACCCATGTGAAAGAAGCACCCTGGACTGGTGCTGTCCTAGTTATTGAGGAGAATCTATTTAAAGTTTGAAAATCATCTTCCAACTTTGCTAAGGAGTTAATCATGACACCCAAATGAAATTCCAGCTGGGGTACCTCTATTTTGGCATACATTATACCTGCATACACCATGGGTTAGGGAGTGTGCTCTCCCTGTTTCCCACCCTGGTCTCTCCCCCCACCCAGCCCCTCCCCAAACATTTGCACTTCCTCAACCATCACTCCTAATGGGCTCTCTTCCCGTACATGAGTTTTAAGCAAAGATACTGAAAGATTTGTGTCTTTGTTTTCAGTATTTATATCTTATGAGTGTCTGAATTTATTTCCAGGTGGGTTTCATATGCTGCAGGGCTGATCAATTATCTGACCAGCTTCCTCTTCAGTTTCTATCATAGAGAATTTATTTTGGCCAATTTTATTTTGTCAAATAGTTTTTGCTGTTGAACAATATTTGCTCAATAGTCTTGGAAAAGTCAATTTTGATCCTGGCATTGCCCAAAGAGGAGCTGTCTGGTCAACTTCCAGTCCTTTTCCTCAGACCATCCCCACAGAAATTCAAAGATGGAGGGAGAGGGCATTCAGCCCCACAGCCTCCTCCTTGGTGCAGAAGGCTGGAGTCACAGGAACATTGGCTGAGGTCCTGTCCTTTGCTGTATGCAGCCTGGTCAGTCACTAAGTCAGCAGCCCTGAATGGGAATGGAGGG